TCATTGCCTTATACTCTACACTATAGTCGTTCTTCTTTTAGTCGTACTTGTGTGATGTCGATCTACATTCCTAATGTGGTCTTGTCTATTAGGACTAGATTGGGACGGGTTTGTAGATGTTCAAGGGGCTCGCATTCCTCGCTTTTAGGACCTAGTTGGGATGAGTTTAGAGATGTCCAAAGGACTCGTGCTCTCCGCTTTTAGGGTCGGGTTGGGATGGTTTTAGAGATGTCCAAGGGACTCACGTTCCCCGCTTTTAGGACTGGGTTGTGATGGGTCTAGAGATGTCAATGAGTTAGCGTTCCCTGCTTTTAGGGCCTCGTTGGGATGATTTAGAGATGTCTAAATGGCTTGCTTTCCCCGCTTTCCATCTTCCGCCCTATTACTTTCTTATTTTTATAAAAAATTTAATTTATTTTTCTCAGATTTTACATGGAAATTTCGTAAGGAGTCTTTGATTTTTTTTTTTTCAATATATATTAAAAAGAAAAATATAATATAACGTTAAACATAATTTATAAAAATTTAAATTAAAAAAAAAATCATAACTTACTCTCCAACATTAAAAACGATACCATAATTTAGTTTTATATATAATATTACCTAATTAATCATATATTTATATTATATTGCATTATATAATGATCGTACTTTTTCTTTTAAATAAAACCACTACTAACAATGAACCTTTAAAATCCATATTTTATTGTAATTTTAAATATTTTTTAACACTATTTCAATAATTTATAGGAAGATTAGCAATAAGAAGGGTTCGTGAATGAATTGTACATCCATTTGAAAGCGATCTTGAACGTAGAACGGTTAAAAAAAGGCTTAAAAGAACTGATTATACCAACAAAGTGCACGTTACATTTCGGTGGCTCAACTATACGAACTTCATGGTTAAGTGTGTTTTACTCAATAGTGCTCGGTTGATATTTGAATTTTATGAAATTTTTGTTATTAATGTAACATACACACTGTTAAATAATTTTTTTTTAAATAATAATAAAAAAATTCGACAAACCAACCCGATCATTAGGTCGGGTTGGGTTATGTTGTGAACTATGTTCGAGTTACTAGAGTCACCAATTCAACCAATTCGAAATTTCGAGTTAGTCCAAAAACAATTTCGAACTCGATCTATATACACCCTTAAATCTAATTAAGACCCTTGACACGCGGTCGAGATTTGTGACATCAAAAATCTTTCATTTTATAATAAAATAATTTGGTATGAGAGAATAGAATATTTACTTGTTTTTAATATATTTTTTTTTATTTCAACCTAGAGGAGTGGGAATTGATTTATTGGCCTTCAATATAATATGATTATGTTATAATTGACTTTTGAGAAATGAAATATAATGTTATGATTAATGTAATTGTAATGATATGAATATAATAAGTATTAATTTTTTATTAACAAAATAATTTAGCTTTTTTTATTATTTTTTTTTCTTCTGGAAGTGATTTTTAATTTTTGGAGCTTATTTGATCAAATCATTATTACGAACTTTTTTCGTAAAACATATAATAATTCATACTGATGATTCGGAATCCGAATTCAACATCTAATGGTCACGACATTCTCTTACGTTGTTACCTACTTTTGTCCTCATTTACATGCATCAAAGGAAAACTTTCAAGAGGTCACCCGACATAGAATTGTCCCCAAGTAAAATATGCTTAACCATACAGTTCTTATGATTGAGCCACCGAAAAGGAAAGTGCAATTTTTTCCCGACTCATTCCTCTCTTTACTCCTCCATCTCCCGACCATCCTTCCACTAATTTGGAGAATAAGAAGAGGAAGGACCGAAGAAGAAAGAACAAAGAGGAAACAAAATCGAAGTTAGCCATGAGATTGAAACTAGAGTAACTGCTGTAGCCCTTATGTTAAATCAGAGAATTGCCTTTTTTCCGTTTAAATTCACGTTATTTCCGTTATGACTTTATTATGAATACTTAAGTTCATAACATCATTTATGAAATGTTTTCACGAAATTATTTTTGCACGTATTAGACATGTCATTACATGTCGTGACGTTACAAATTTACTATCATAACATAAAAAAGAAATAAAACCACTTGTGTGGGTCGGGGTTGAGAATTGAGGGGCCAATGAGATATGAGCCTGATTTTCCAGCAACGTCGGACTGACCATCAACTTAATATCTATTATCCGAATATTACAACATGTCTCTTGAATGGTCGACAAAGAGAATCTCCCGACGTCTCTCTGCACACCAAACTGAAAATATCGGACCCCTAAACCACCAAAGCATTCCATTGAATGAAGCTCACTTCCCTCCAACGAAGCCAGTTTTGGGGTAACTCTAGGTCTCGAGAAATTATAGATTAAAAAAAAAAAAAAAGTCAATGCTTAAAATTCAAAACTTTTTTGACAACAATAATCTAACGTTCATATTAAGCTCAAAAACCCTTTGGATTTTGAATATACTTTAAAATATTATTTTTAAAATAATAATAATAATAATAATAACCAATAAATACACCCATATTCTCTCTTCTTGACTTTTCTTCTCCACGTTGTTTGGCTCTTATATAATATTGACCCAAATTACTAATCCACCATATATTTTTCTTTCCTCTAAAAAAAATTATTTATTTTTTATTTATCAAAATTATACTATAAACTCATAAATAAAAATATATTTTTTTTTAAAGTTACAATATAGTTTACAAATTAAGACGAAAAAATAAAAAAGTTTCTTATTATTTTAAAAAAGAAAAGACATCATTATTAATTGATTTTTTTTTGGGTGAAATTTCACGATTGTGTGACTGACGACGATACGTAACGATCAAAGCGGATAATATCTACTAGTATTGGGCTTGGGCTATTACAAATGGTATCTAGAGCCAAACGCTAGGCAGTGTGCTAGCGAGGATGGTGCTCCCAAGTGAGCCAAGAGAGTGGATTGTGAGATCACACGTTGGTTGTAGAAGGGAACTAAACATTGTTTTAAAAACATGAGGTTAATAGCGATAAGTAACGGATCGAAACGGACAATACCTACTACTATTGGTAAGTGGGTCAAAGCAGACAATACCTGTTATGGATGACCCTCGAGTTGCATTTTTATATATAAAAATAAAAAAATAATAATAGTAATAATAATAAAATAAAATGAAAATGTATGGTAGATATTTTAAAAAAAAATTATAATAAATAAAAATGAAAAAAAAAATTGGATTGGAAGATTGTTTGAAAATGTGGTGTAAATGTTTGAAAAACACAACACACGAGCAGCCAAATTAGAGAACCGTGTGGAATCCAGAAAATCAAGCACTAAATAATTTTAAAATTCTTTCCTTTTTTTTTTTTTTTTAAAAAAAATAGTTATTTGAAAGTTTTTATTTTTTAAGATATTATTTATTTAGTGAGGGTAAAAGAAAAAAAAAAACTAATAAATCCATATACTTCAACTATATAAATAAATAAATAAATAAATAATTGAAGTTTTACCGATACAATTTCTAAAAAATTTAAATTTAATATTACACTCTACTATTTAATAATTAAAAAATATAATTTAAATATTATAATTAGAGTGTGAAAATTAACTAATTTAGTATTTTTTATATAATAAAAAAGAAATTATATTTATGCTAAATAAAGACGTAGATGGGAGCATGATCATATAATTCGGTCTCGATCCCATTTATCTAAGGGTAAAAAATATATCCCACTCCTTCCGACATTCTTTGTAAATAGGAAATTTTCTCCATTTAGAACGGGTGTAGGAGATAAAATAGACATAAATTAGAAATGAGTATTTATAACTTTTTCTAATTAATTTCACGTAAATAATAATAATAATAAGTCTTATTTATACTTGGAAAATTAAATCTAAATAAAATATATTTAATAACAATTACAATAAAAATAATTGGATTGCATCACCTTTTCGACCAAAAAAAAACCCTCTCAATACGCAAGAAACAAGAGAGACACGACAAAATGAAGTGAAAAAAAAAAAAAAAAAAAAAAAAAAAAAAAAAAAAAAAAAAAAAAAAAAAAAAAAAAAAAAAAAAAAAAAAA